CCGCCGTTAGTTTCTCGAACAGTAACAGTTCGACTGGCGCTGCTTTATATCTTGATACAAAGTACTTGTTCGTACGTGAGCGAGTTGAGGAAAATAAACTTTGTATTGAGCATATAAGTACTAAGAATATGCTTGCGGATCCGATGACTAAAGGTCTCCCTCCTAAGATTTTCGAAGAACATGTTTCGAAGATGGGGTTATCTAAAGACCTTATTTAGTTGCATATTGTACTTGCTTACATTTAATAATAAAATTTCCTCATTGTTTTGTTTGTTTTGTCTCTGAATGTGTCTACGCATGCCTAAAGACATATAGACAACATTTATGTACAAAATAATCTTATGGGCTTAATTGTCAATTTGATCCTTAGCTTATTTAAGTTTTAAATTTGGTATTGTAGTATGATTAATGGGGGTCTTGAATTGAATATCGATTCTATGATTGTATTTCTCTGCTACAATTTCGGTTTAGAACTAAAATGAGTATTAAAATCTGATCAGACTTATCTAATACTCATCATAAATGATTACTCGACCAAGTGGGAGAATGTTGGACACGATTTTATTATGTGGCCTGAGTTATCATTTATCTAATTAATTGATCATTGACCTAATAAATACCCTACGTATTTATTTGGTAATTATTCGATGGACGTAATTACCCTTACGACCTAATTAGGGTTTCCCCTTGGGTGTATATAAATAGAGGTATTAGGCAGAAATCGACACACCAATCTTACGCCTCCTCTCTGCCTCTCTATTCTTGTGAGTCTCATCCTCACCTTAGCCATCATAACAATACACCCTAAAAGGGAACTCGATCTGCGTGAGAATCATGGTCTCATCCCTAACTACGTTTACAGGATTATCAGGTACACATGATTAAATCCCTAATTTATATTTTATGTTTAAGAATTGATCAACAAAACATTCAAAAGAATCCAAGAAAAGAACATAATTAAAGAAGGAACGAAAAAAATATATATATTACTTCTAGATGATTTCTTAAGTTTAAATCTCATATAAGTATTTAGTGTTATATATTTTAGTGTAATTGGAAAAACTACGACCAATGGTATCCTAATAATCATCAACGAAGTTTGGTGGTGCGGAGTGCACGCTTCATTGAGTTTGTTACGATAAAAATCCCGTTACATTAGGGGTTCCAAGGGGGCAGCGCCCCCGAGCAGGGTTCAAGGGGCGGCAGCCCCTGCAGGGTCCAATTGGAATTTTAATTTTCGAATTTTCTTTAAAAGAAAACTTCCGATTGGATAGCACCGAATTTTGAAGAACTTTCGCGCGAAGGATCGCGTAACTTGGGAAAGAGACGCGATAGGCGTCTTCTCCCTCTGCCACAAGTTTATAAATTCTCGCAGGCCATGGTCGGGTTTTCGTTCGGATTTTCATAGCAATTCTCATATTTAGTTCTTGATACGTTCGAGTTTTATCCGATTGAATTTTGGAGTGAACAACCAAAATATTCAATCTGATAGTGTTCTACACGACTCTCGATTCGTCCAAGTTTCATTAATTTCCCCAACATTTAGTCTTAGTATTTTAATTGATTGATAAAATATGAAAAAAGAGATACTACCTCCGTCCCGCTATATTCGTCCACTTTTGACTTTTGGAACTGTTCATCTAAGCACTTTGGCTCATCAAATTCTCTCATTGTGTAAGCCTAAATATAATCATGTGTGATCTTGTTTGATTTGTCTTAACATATAGATTATTAATATATAATTTCTATAATTTCTCAATACACAAATTTCAAGATAAAATGGATTAAAGAAGTGCATTGGATGGTGTGCAAAAATTAAAGTAGACAAATACTCTGGGACGGAGGGAGTAATAAGTTAAATCTGTAGAGTATTTGTTTAGTTTTGTTTTTTGTACTCTAAATTGATAAATTTTGATTCTTAAGTAATTAAATTTTTTTTCAATTTATCTCGCAAAAAATGGGTAATTAATGAACGTTCATTAATTACCCATTTTTTGCGAGATAAAAATCGGTCACGATTGACTAAAGAAATAAAAAATGAACAAATATTTTAGGACAAGGTAATAGTAGTACTCAAAAAAGAATAACTTAGAAGAATTGAACCTGCTAATTCCCAAGGTTCGCACTTGTAGAGATCGACATCGGGGATGATATCAAGCTCAATTTCAAGGCCATGAATCTTCCTCTTGAGGTAATAATTCACCAGCTCTTCATCTGTTGGGTGGAACCGGAAACCTGGAGGCAATCCTACCGGCGACATTATAATTAATTCGCTAATATAATAAAAATCGTTTCCTTTCTTATATACTCCGTATATATATGTATGAGCTTATCCCTAGATTATTAGATGGCAGACCGACACCGCACCGCACTGCGATATCCCTCGCCATCACTGCCCACAAATCGTCGCTGCTATATATTCCGATGTCTGAGCGTAAAGCCGTTCAAAGTCCTTTGTCTTTGAGTCATTTTTTGCTTTTTCCCCTTTTGTAGATTCTCTTGGAGAACCGTTTCCCTCAAGCCCGAGACCTCTTGTTGTGTCTTGTGTGTATGTCATACATACATACATACATACATACATACATACATACATACATACATACATACATACATACATACATACATACATACATATATATATATATATATATATATATATATATATATATATAGGTTCTGGTGAGAATGCGATCTTAGGATAGAAATGAGAATGAATCTGGTGCTTTAGATTGTGTGATCTAAGAGTCAGGATTGCATCAAAATCAGGTGCACCAAAATGGTTTAAAAATGCATCACGTCGAAATGCACCAAAATCCTTTGAAAATGCACTATCTCAAAATCTCAGTGCAAGATGTAATCTGAGCCCGCGCGATGCATCAGATCTAACGGCTAGATTTTATTCTCATTTTTCTCCACAAGGTGCATTCTCACGGGAACCGACCCCTATATATATGGGCTGGTTCTCGTGAGAATGAGTCTTGTGGAAAGAAATGATAAAAAATAATAACCATTGATATTACAAATCTATGGGTCTACCTTAGATCTAAAAAGTGGCGCCATTGACTAGTTAGGCTCCGTTCCGTTCAACTTATTTTTTCTGATCTGATCTGATTTTAATAAGTTCTGATCTGATCTGATCTGGTCTGATCTGATTTGATCTGATCTGGTCTGATCTGATCTGATTGGATCTGATCTGATCTGATCTGATTGGATCTGATCTGATCTGATTGGATCTGATCTGATCTGATCTGATATGATTAGATCTGATCTGATCTGATCTGGTCTGATCTGATCTGGTCTGATCTGATCTGATTAATTATGATTTAATTTAAAATTTCAAATTAATAATTTGATTTGACTTTATAATAACGTTTGAAAATTGTAATGATAATTCATAGTATAATATAATCAATATTTTTTATTTAATAATTATTTTTTAATAAAATAAAAATAGTTAATTCATATATTAGAATAATCATTCATATTATAATGTAATAATATTTTTATTTTATGATTATTTTTTTATATTAGAATATTAATTTAATATTTTAATAATTACTTCATATATACATTAGAATAAATATTTAATTTAAATATACATTAAAAAGTAATTAAATTTAGATAATCAATATATAGAAGAGATAGTATTTTTTTTAAAATATCTCATCCTTATAAAAGATCAAAACTTTAGAAACTCAAATTACAAGTAGCAATAAAAATATATTTTAAAAGTAGAATTAGATTGACACTGTTAATGTATTTTAAAACTAATTTTTCCGACGTCTAATAATTAAGGATTACTTTCTCAGTTTTCTATTTAACCTATTTCTAAAGTTTATTCTTTTTCATTTTTAAGAACAATAATAATAATAATAATAATAATAATAATAATAATAATAATAATAATAATAATAATAATAATAATAATAATAATAATAATAATAATAATAATAATAATAATAATAATAATAATAATTCTTGATGGGATCTGATTTTAATAAGTTCTGATTTGATGTGATTGGGTCTGATCTGATCTGATCTAATCTGATTAGATCTGATCTGATCTGATCTGATTGGATCTGATCTGATCTGATTCGATCTGATCTGATCTGATTCAATCTGATCTGATCTGATCTGATTCGATCTGATCTGATCTGATCTGATCTGATTCTAATAAGAATAAGAAAAAATAAGAAAAAATAAGTTAAACGGAACGGGGCCTTAGTATGGTAAAAAATAATTATGTCCATCAATTTAGGAGTGAAACGTGCGCATAGGGGCATTAGTGTAAATTTGATAGGCACTAAAGGATCGTGGGCCATAAGTTCTACTTATTGTGCCGTTATTATAGGAGTATTAAGAGTTATCTTATTAATTCTTTCTTTTTTAAATCATGCACCTCATTATTACGCGAAAATTGTCATACAGAGTATTAATGTTTTTTTTCTCTTTTTTTGATTTGTAAACAAATTTTCTTCTATATAAATCAATAATGAATAATTTTTACTATTAAACGGATGGATACCCAATATTTTCCTGGGGACTGTAGATCGCCCCAGGTTCAAATATAGGTGTCCGGGCCTTATAATATTAAAAGAATAATACGAGAATAGTAAGTAATAGTAATTGGGACACTGCTCACGAAACAAGAACTAAGACCGGCGGTCCTCTCCTTTATCCGGTCCTCTCAGGAACGGAATATGCTTAAGGATCGCCGGAATATCTTTTATTATTACTCAAGTATTTTCTCTCTCTATTACAAGATGATCCTTTCTCCTCTAGTCTCCCTCTCTTTTATAGGCACTTCCCTCCATTATTCCTTTCAATAATGGCAGTGGCCAGGGGGAATGTTCCTGCCAGCCTGCATCTTCTGGGAGGAATGTATCTCCACTTGAGGCCATCCACTGGAGGACAAAGCCTTCTGTCTATCTCTTGCTCCCTGTCCTTCGTCCGTCTCTTTCTCCTCGTCCCTGTCCCTTCAAGTGAAAGGGGGGACTCCCCAAACTCCTCATAGGATTCCTCTCTTCGTGGGTAGCTTACCCTTAATGGGCTGGCTTCAGCCCATCCTTAAGCCCCACTTCTCTTCCTTTTCCTATCTTTCTTTACGGACAGCCTTCCTTTGACCGGCCCGGTATATTTTACCTGGGCCGGACACTCCTTTTGATGGACGGGGTCCAGATTGGGCTTAGGCCCAATTCGCCACATTCCTCTCGATGGGCTTGGTTCCCATCACATGCCCCTTTTTTTACAAGTCAAAAAATAAAAGTTTTTTGACTGTAGTCTTCCTCGCATGCCTTATTGGAAAGTTTTTCCTCTGCCTTCTTTTCATTTTCTGACGAAGATTCTCTCTTTGGGAAAAAACCCCAAAATTCACTTTGTATTCACTCCAGATATTTTCAGTAGCACATCTTTGCGGGCCATGGGCCCTAAATGAATAATTGGCTGACTGGACTAATCTCGTGGCTACACACTCATTGGATTGTGGCGCCGCATATCCGTCCAATTACTGTCTGGGTGCCAATGGCCAATATCACCCCAGTAATTGTTGACCGCAGCAGGAAATTAAAGGAGAGGGTGACAGAGGACCGCAGGCCTGGGGAATTGCCAGTGTGGACCGTCTGGAACTCTGCATCACTTAAATATCCATGGCCCACTTTTCCAAACCCTTTTTGACCGGTTTCTCGGATTCCTCTCATGGTTATTTTGGACCGTTTCATCTTCCCCTTCCCTTCTTCTATAAATTCGGTCCTTCTCTTCTCTCTTCCCACTCCATTAGACTCTTCGATCTCTTGCTCTCTCATCTTCTGCCGAACTAGCCTTCCTCCTTGATCTTTATTCTCTCTCGCCATGAAGAAGACAATCTCCAAGGTTTCCAAGATCTTCAACGGCAGTAAGAAATCCAAGGAGGACGAGAATGTTTCCTCCATCACTCCTGCGCAGTTGGGGGAGATGAGGGGAGTCATTCCTCCTGATTATGGCGTCCAGGAAGCCACGGGTACTACTTTGGAGTGTAATCCTGGCATCTCCCGCCGATTGGTCGTCCACTACGACTCGGTTAGGATGGGATGTCGTTTTCCTCTTCATCCCCTCTTGATTGAACTTTGCAACCGCTACGCCATTCCTCCCGGCCAGATTTCCTCCAACTCCCACGAAAGTCTTTTTGGCTTCTTGGCGCGGTGTCACAAGAGAGGCATCAAACCCACTCTGAAGCTCTTCCTCTCTTTCTTCCGTCCACACAAGTACGACAGTGAGTTGGGCCGGGGGTACGTGAGTTTCACAGCCCGGACCGATATGCAGTTTTTGGACAGCCCTGTTGACAAGCTTGATGACTGGTTCCGCCGCTTCTTTGTGGTGGTAGTCCCGGAGAACCTCCCCTTCCCTGTGTGGCGAAAGAAGGAAGACAAATTTCCTTCTCATACTTTTCCTCCGCGTGACTCGGAGCTTGATGGGATCTACCGTCTCCTTCTCAAGAACGGTTATCCGGTTCCCAGGGCGCTTCTCTTCAAGGATTCAAACCTCCGGGGTCTCGGATACTGGGTGTCTCCCGATACTCCTCTTCAAGATCCGTCAGGAAACACAACTTCCTCTTGGGTTCCTCCTTTCAGGAGCACCCGACTCTGCCGGCGATCTTCTCGAAGGGATCCTTCCCCGGAGGAGGACACCGAGGGCGAAGAGACTGGGTCCGTGACTGGGACCCAACCTATGCTACTTGCCGACCGCCCTCATCTTTTGGAAGAGGTGGTGGTCGAGGAAGTCTCTGACGACGACGGCCTCTACGACTTCCCTCCGGGGACCTTGAGGGGGTCCGGTCTTATCCCCGGTGTTCCCCATACTCCTCTTTTTGGCAGGGGGGCTCCTCCTTCTGCCCAGTTCATGGGCCCGTTGAGTTTCCATCCTTAACCCACTGGGACCTCTCCCATTGGGCGCGCCACCGGTTCACAAGGGTCCCTTGAACCGCCACATGTCCAGGTGGCCGGAATTGGGATTCCGTGCAGCACTGAGTCTCCTTGGGAATATTCCCCCTCCTCTGGCTGTGGGGGGAATGAAGTAATTTCCCAGCTCCAACCGTCCACTGCCCTAAATTTTGCAGAGTCAGCGGCGGAGAGCATTTTTGGGACGCCCCTTGGCCAGGGCGGTGTTCCTCTCCCTGGAGCAAATATCCATCGGTCCTTTAGGGAGACGGAGGAAAAAATTCGGTCCTCCAGTTTTGGGAAGGTTATTGTCCCATCCTCCGTCCATCCCACTGCTGTTCCTGATCCATCAACTCAAGAGACCGGGTCTTCTTCTTCTTCCCAGGCCCATCACAAGAGGGGCCAGAATTCCACTCCTCTTCCAGGCTCTTTGGTGTCCGCCGGTCCTTCCATGGGGACCGCTGATCACTTCTTTGGGACCGCTGGTGATGGGTCTCCTACCGGGCAAGGGAGTCAGCCCTTTCCCTATGCCCGGGAGGCCTATCAGTTCACAAGGTACACGGCTTGGGTTGGACGGGATTTCAACAGCAAGCTTCAAGAAATACAACAGCTTAAGAGGGACCATCCAGATGTGATTCACAGCCCCGTTTGGCCGTTTATGCAGGAGGAGTATACTCGTATGGTAAGTGTCCCCCTCCTTCTCGTTTTAAGTTTTCCACTTATTCCTTCATGCCTTTTAGGACCGCTAACTTCTACTTTCTTCCTCTTTTGATAGGCCGATTATGTTGCCACTTCCTCTGCCTAGCGCCACTCTCTTCGCCTGTTGGACCGCAATGCTGCTTTATCAAAGGAGCTGCGGGATTTCAAATCTCGGCACTCTATTTGTGTCGAGCGCCCGGAATACGATCGGGTTTTGTCGGAGAACGACCAGCTCTACTCTGACCGCGAGCGGCTTTCGGCCAAGGTTGGACAGCGTGAGGAATCTCTGAGGAGGGACTTGGAACGGCAAACCAGAGAGCGTGAATTGCAAGTTCGAGAGGAGGCCGAACTTCACCGGAAGAGATTCGAGGAGGAGTTGGAGCGAACGTGGCGTCGCCGATCCGAAGAAGAGGCAAGGAAGGCGGCGGAAGAGGTTGAGCAGAGGTGGCGTCTCCAGCATGAAGAAACCGAACGTCGACTTTCTCAAGGGGTTGACGAGCTAAACCTAACCCTTATGGAGGAGAGGCGTTCAGCTCGGAGTTCCCTTGACGAGGCCCGCCGCTCACTTGAGAACGAGCGTCTCACATATGAGGGACATATGGCTCGAATGGAGGCCGATCGCATCTCAGATTATGGCAGGGGGTTCTATCGTGGAGGATTGGAAGTCCAACAGAAGTTTTATCATGGTCTGGAGCCCTATTCCGATGGGCAGGATCCTTGGCTGAAGTTCCTAGGCATCCCTGGACCCATGGGACCAGAACCCTCTTTTCTCCACTCCCCTCCCCCATCTTGAATTATTGCAATTTGTTTAGGAACGGTCCTCCTGTGTTCTTCTTGTATTAATTTCTGCTCATCATTGTAAGGACTTGTCCACTTGCGTGTCTCTGTTCTAATTTTATTTCTTAGGGAGCTGGAGCTGCTGCCCGTATTTTTTTTTAAGAACTCCTGGAACAGATTATGGACAGAAAACCCCCTTTTCTTTCTTTTTTGCAACGTACAGCCCATTTCAACATAAAAAGGAAAGAAAACACCTTAAGTAAAAATGCTCTTAACGGAATAGAAACTCAGACGGACCCGTTCCTACTGGTAGAATTTCTTCAAATGCTCTACGTTCCAGTAGTTGTCCAATGTTTTTCCCTCGGCAGTGGCCAATTGATAGGTGCTTGCACGCACCACTCTCTCCACGCGATACGGTCCTTCCCAATTCTGGGCCAGTTTTCCTCCCTTAGTAGGCTGACTCTTCTCCCTTTTACGCAGGACCCAATCGCCTACTTCGAATGCCCGAAGTATAGTTTTCTTGTCGTGATATCTTTTGGATTGTCGCTGGAACTCTTCCGCTTTTATCGCCGCATCATCCCTCCTTTCTTGAGTGAGGTGGGAATCTACTTCCATTAATTGTTCATTGATGATCGGGGTGTACGCCTCCACCCTTGTACTAGGGACCAAAACCTCCGTAGGTACCTTTGCCTCGAAGCCATAAGCCAAGGCAAAGGGAGTCTCTCCTGTGGCTCTTCTCGGAGTGGTCCTATGAGCCCACAACACATAGGGCAGCTCTTCCACCCAAGATGTGCCCAACTCGTGTAATCTCTTCTTGATACCGTCCACAATCGGCCTGTTAGCATTTTCCACTTGCCCGTTGCATTGCGGGTAAGCTACAGCGGCCCGACTGAGTTTTATTTTCCAGGCGTCACAGAATTCCTTGAAACTTGTGCTAGCAAATTGGGTGCCATTGTCCGTTATGATTTGCTCGAGAACACCAAATCTGCATAACAAATTTTTCCACACAAACTTATGGCAGTTTTCCTTCGTGATTCGCACAAGGGCCTCCGCTTCGACCCATTTAGTAAAGTAGTCTATTGCCACAATCGCAAATTTCTTCCTTCCAGCCCCTTGGACGAAAGGACCCACCAAATCCAACCCCCATCTAGCAAAAGGGATGGCCGTAGTGACATGGGTGTAAAAGGTGGATGGGCGTCCAGGGATTGGTGCAAATGCTTGGCAAGTGGGGCATTTCCTCACCAATTCCAGTGCATCCTTCTTCAAAGTGGGCCAATAGAACCCCTGGAGTATCACCTTCCTTGCTAGAGTGAGAGCACCTTGATGGGCAGAGCAAACTCCTTGGTGTACTTCCTCCAATATCCTTCTTGCTTCCCTTTCACCCAAGCATTTGAGCATCGGTCCACCCAAGGTCCTTTTATACAATTTCCTTCCATCCAATTGATATTTGGGAGCCATCAATTGAACTCTGCGGGCCTCCTTGGGGTCAACAGGGAGCTCTCCCTTTTCAAGGTATGTGATCAGGGGGCTCATCCAAGTTGTACTTGGACCGGATATCTCAAGGACAGGGACCGCCTCCTCCCAAATAGGACAAGTCTTCTCGTGCTGTCTTACCATACCCTCCATGTGGACGGGAATGGTCCTACATAATTTGGAAAGCATATCCGCTTCCTCATTCTCCTCCCTTGGAACATATATGAGTTCATAATACTCAAATTGTCCCAGTAGAGTCCTGGCGCAATCCCTGTATCTTTTCAATCTTCCTTCCTTGGCCTCCATTTCCCCTTTTAGCTGTCCGATGGCCAGTTTTGAATCGGATTTAAGGCGAATGTGTCTTATCCTCATGAATAGGGCAATCTGGACTCCTCCAATGAGGGCTTCATACTCCGCTTCATTGTTGGTGGCCCGAAATGTGAACTTGAATGAATGATAAGCCTTGAAGCCTTCGGGGGAGGTGAGGACCGCTCCTCCTCCTGAACCGTCTTTAGTGCAGGATCCATCTGAATGAATCTCCCATACCTCCCTTTTTCTTTCCTGACCGGTCCCATCCTCTTCTGGCTTTCCTCTTGCTGTGCATTCCACCATAAAATCAGCAATGACCTGGCCCTTCTTGCTGGAACGGGGCTGGTAAGAAATATCATATTGAGAGAGGACCATAGCCCACTTGATGACCCTTCCTGAAGAAAATGGGTCCCTCAAAACTGCTCCCAAAGGCTGGTCCGTCATGATTCTTACTGGGTGAGCTTGGAAATAGGGAGTTAACCTCTTGACAGTCACCACCACCGCCAAAACACACTTTTCCAAGGGAGTGTACCTTGTTTCCGGTCCTCTTAAGGCCCTGCTTGTGTAATAAACTAGCTTTTGGACTCCTTCTTCTTCCCTCAAGAGGACCGAACTCACTGCCAGCTGGGCCACTCCCAAGTATAAGAAAAGGACATCCCCTGCTAATGGCTTGGAGAGGACCGGTGGAGAGCTCAAATATGCCTTCAAGTGTTCAAAGGCCTCTTGGCACTCTGCGGTCCACTGGAAGTTTCCCCCTCCCTTTAAAATTGTGAAAAAGGGCAGGGACCGCTCTGCGGACCGTGCCAAGAACCTTCCCAGGGCCGCTATCCTTCCTGCTAATCTCTGGACCTCCCTCAAACTTGTTGGTGGTTCCATGTCTTGGATGGCCTTCAACTTGTCCGGATTGACTTCAATTCCCTTCTTGCTCACCATGTACCCAAGGAATTTTCCTCCCTGGACCCCAAAGGCACATTTTTTGGGATTCAATCTCAAATTATGCTTCCTCATGATGCTGAAGCATTTCTCCAAGTGCCGAGGATGGTCCGCTGCCTGCTTACTTTTAATCAGTAAGTCATCCACATAGGCCTCCATGATCTGTCCTAGGACCTCCTTAAATAATAAAGAGATCATTCTCGTAAATGTGGCCCCCGCATTACGCAGCCCAAAAGGCATGACTACGTAACAATATACTCCTTCAGGGGTGATAAAGGCTGTGGATTCCGCATCATCTTTGTGCATGAAAATCTGATGATATCCTCGGAAGGCATCCATGAAACTCAACAGTTCATGACCCGCCATTTCGTCTAATAGCTGATCCACTCTTGGCAATGGAAAGGGGTCCATAGGACATGCTTTATTGAGGTCAGTGAAGTCCACACACATGCGAAATGTGTCTCCTTTTGGTGCCAGCACCACATTGGCAAGCCATTTAGGATACTGGACCTCCCTGATGTGGCCGGCCTCCAAAAGGGTCTTCACCTCCTTCCTCACAAATTCTTTTCTGTCCGTAGACAGATACCTTTTCTTCTGCTTGACCGGGAGGGAGTCCACCTTGATGTTCAATTTATGGCAAATGACTGAGGGATCGACTCCGGGCATATCCTTGGATTCCCATGCGAAGAGGACCGAGTTTTTTCTTAATACTCGGATGATCTCTTCACGGGTATCCTCCTCTAGCCCTAAACCGATTTTCACCACCTTCTCTGGTTCTCCCTCCGGGAATAGCGCTACCTCTTCCGTTTCCACAGCTGGCTTGGGCCTCTCCCGGTCCTCCTCCCTCCTTTCTTTATCTTCAAAAACTTGCCCGATGGTTTGGATGTTGAGGTTCTCCTTGTCTGTCCTCTTGCAGGCACTTAGATAGGCCTTCTTGGCTGCAGGCTGATCACCAAGGACCCTCCCAACACCTTCGGGAGTCCTAAACTTGAGGCACACGTGCTCAAGGGATAGTGCACCTCCCAAGTCCTCTAGCCCAGGCCTCCCTAGGATGGCATTGTGAGCGCATTTGATATCAACCACTACGAAATCCATCCTCATATGCCTCACCATAGGATGCTCGCCTATGATGATGTCCAATTTAATGGACCCTTCCGGTTCAATTATGTCTCCGGTGAAACCGGACAAGGGCATGTTAAGTTTTGTGAGATCTTCCTTCCGGACTCCTAATTGCTGGGCCGCCTCCCAGTACAACACATTGACACTGCTTCCCGTGTCCACCAATATTCTTTTGACAAAAAATTTATGAATAGCCATAGAAATTACCAGGGGAGTCCGATGAGGGCTAGGAATGAGTGGTAAATCCTCGTCTGAGAAGACAATGGGCTCCCTCCTTCCTCTCTTGGCCGCTTGACCTAGGTCAATGGACCCCACATATAGCTTGCGAGCCCATTCCTTCCTTTCCTTGCTTGTGACTCCTGTTTCTGGACCGCCAAAGATGACTCCTACTTGGGGAAATTCCTCCGGGTTCTCCTGGCCTTGTTGTTGAGGTTGGGCATCCCTACGCCAAACATTACCTCCTTGGTTTGGCTCCCGATTAGCATTCGGTTCCTTGTCCTTCATCTCTCCTTCCATCTTTTTGAGGAAATGGCATTCCTCCATGGCGTGTCCAGGCCTTCTATGGAAGTTGCAATATTTTTCTGGGTCATAGGGCCATTGTCTTGTTTTTTGGTCTCCACGTTTCCTCTTCTGCCCACCTTCTTCCTTGCTCTTAATTTCTGCCACTGGTGCGTCCAGTGATTTGAGGGTAGGGATGGAGAGAGTGGCCGCCTTGGTCTTTTCTCCCTTCTTTTCTTTGTCCAGGCCTTTATGCAAGGCTCCCTCACTCTTTCCTTTCAGGCGATCCGACTCTTCCGTGGCGCAGAACTTGTTAACCCTAGCCATCATAGCCTTGTAAGAAGTAGGGGTATCGTAATCTAACTTCCGAAATAATTCCCCCGACCTGAGAACATTCATGAATAGAGCAATGGAAGTCTTATCGTCCATAGGCTCCACCTCATTGATTGCTTCATTCCATCTTTGTACCAATTCACTGTTGGTCTCCCCCTCCGTTTGCTTTAGGGAGAAAAGATGGGTGAAGTGCTTCTTTGGCTGGAACCTTCCTCCATAGGCGTTGAGGAAAAGTTGAGCAAGATCTTTGAAGCAATCAATGGTCCCGTTAGGAAGGGTGAGGAACCATTTTACGGCCGGCCCCTCCAAGGTTCCTACGAAGAGGCGACACTGGATCTCGTCCTCCACGGCATGCATCAACATGTGGGTTTGGTATGCGGCCAAGTGATCATTGGGATCGGTGACTCCTTTATAACGGATTTCAGGGGCTTTCATACCCCTGGGCAGTTGAGCTTTCATCACTCTGGCGGTAAAGGGAGAAATTATCTCTACTGTGGGTCCAAAAGACCCATCCTTGTCAACCTGCCTCTTTAGTTCTTCCATTTCTTTCTCAATTTGAGGATGTCTTTGGCATCTTCATTGCTGTGCCCCCCAGAATTTTCTCCAGACTCCTCAGTTCTGGGTCCCAGCCTTTGGGACGCATTTTTGCGCATCCTCTTGTGTACTGATATGCGCCCTTGACTTTCCACCTCCTCATCCTCTCCTTGGCCCATCTCTCTCCCAGTCCCTTGGGACCGGGCCTCTCCCTCCTTGTTGAGCCATCCGATTAACTTCCGGACTATGGGGGAGTTGGCGTCGAATTTTTCTTTTTCTGCTTGAGAATCCTTTGGATGAGAACTCTTAGGGGCTTTAGAGTGGAAACTCTGTTCACAAGATTTGTCTTGTGTTTCCCGCCTGGATTGGGAGAGAGTTATTTGATGTCTGAGATCCTGGGATGAAAGCTTTTCTTTCCCTTCCAAGTTGGTTCGCGCCTTAGCAGCAATTTTGTTCCTCCTGGACCGATTTTTGCCCATGATGTCAGTTGGAAACCTTCTTTGATGGAAAAAAAGGGGGGAACCGATATGAGATGACGGTCCCTGAGCGAGAAATCGGTCCTCCTGGATGACCAGCTTATGAACGCGGTCCTTTGTGGAGGATCAGTCTTCCTTTCTCTCTCTCTCTCTCTTTTTTTTTTGAATGAAGGACCGACTAAAAAAAAGGAGTCCCTCTGGGTGGACCGCGAACTTATCTCCTTCACTTGAAGTGGACCGCTGATTCCTCCTAGGTCTAGGAAGAGGTCTTTCCAAGTGAACAGGAATGAGATAGGCTCGCTATCAACTCCCTAGAAGGCCAGGAAGCTTCAATCGGTCCCACGGTCGACGCCAGTGATGGATACCCAATATTTTCCTGGGGACTGTAGATCGGCCCAGGTTCAAATATAGGTGTCCGGGCCTTATAATATTGAAAGAATAATACGAGAATAGTAAGTAATAGTAATTGGGACACTGCTCACGAAACAAGAACTGAGACCGGCGGTCCTCTCCTTTATCCGGTCCTCTCAGGAACGGAATATGCTTAAGGATCGCCGGAATATCTTTTATTATTACTCAAGTATTTTCTCTCTCTATTACAAGATGATCCTTTCTCCTCTAGTCTCCCTCTCTTTTATAGGCACTTCCCTCCATTATTCCTTTCAATAATGGCAGTGGCCAGGGGGAATGTTCCTGCCAGCCTGCATCTTCTGGGAGGAATGTATCTCCACTTGAGGCCATCCACTGGAGGACAAAGCCTTCTGTCCATCTCTTGCTCCCTGTCCTTCGTCCGTCTCTTTCTCCTCGTCCCTGTCCCTTCAAGTGAAAGGGGGGACTCCCCAAACTCCTCATAGGATTCCTCTCTTCGTGGGTAGCTTACCCTTAATGGGCTGGCTTCAGCCCATCCTTAAGCCCCACTTCTCTTCCTTTTCCTATCTTTCTTTACGGACAGCCTTCCTTTGACCGGCCCGGTATATTTTACCTGGGCCGGACACTCCTTTTGATGGACGGGGTCCAGATTGGGCTTAGGCCCAATTCGCCACATTCCTCTCGATGCGCTTGGTTCCCATCATAAACTTTTTGTAATATTTTATTTCTTTTTGCTTAATGATAATTCACTTCTCGTGGTTCAAGAGATTTGTTTATTTTCATTTTTAAAAAGAAATAGCACGTGGTTTACAATTTTTTCCCCTTTTTTAAATACTATTATTCCCCATTTTTTATTTTTCATCACTTTCTTTCACATTTTTAAAGGATTAGTCACACAATTGTGTTGCACTTGACAATGATTTTAGTTATTTAGAGGGAATCAAGGAAGTTTTTCTCGTGTGATAGTTTTTTGTTTTATGCATCATTCTCATATATAGATGCAATACGTTTTGTAAATTGTGCATTCATTGTGATGATCGGTATATGCACTATCATTTGTCCTTTAGATTTAATTAAAATAATATTTAATTTATTATTTGATTGGAGAAGATGACTCGTAAGTGACTTTATATGGGATGAAATAGCAGCTTAAAATGTATTGTATTTATAACAAGTATAATACAATATTAAAAAATAATTTCCTATGCGAGACTTGAACTCACATCTGTAGTACATACCGCACTACCATTTGAGCTAATAGGCAACGACTTGT